ATGCTGATATAGTGTTATAAATTTCAATATTTGCAATGTACGCTTTCTATTAGTCAACGTTGTTATGCACTTAATTCTAGATTTCTGACCTTTTGTATTTGAAAATTGTATTGAGCTGTTAGGTAAAAATAAGTTTTGTTTGCCTGTTTATTGTATTGTCTTTAAACATTTGCCTAATTCCTTGAAATAACTCGAGTCCTATACGGACATTAAAATATTGAGCTTGTTGGTGATTATTGTATTTTCACGAGTGCCTTCAGTTTTGATCATTTATAAGTATTGTTATTGCAACTCCTTCCTTACTCGTTGGCGTTATTCCATTGCACTGTGGAATTACCATGTAACCTGGGTAGGTAGGGATGATTGCCCCGATGGTATCTGCTATAATCCAACTTCTATATGCGGTTCTTTAAGTTATAGGTACGATTGCGCTGGCAGCAGATTTAATACTTACAACATGAGAATTATTAGGTAAAGTTTGTTTGGCAGAAAATGGTTGACGTCAATTAGTGCGGTCGTAAATATTATTAAATTATATGACTTGACCCATGTAACACTGACTAGACGGTTCTTCTATAATAAAGCAAAGGATCAACAAAATTTACAATAATTACGACGACATAGACAAAAAACGGATGTAAAATATATTGCTTTGAATTATATACTAGAAATTAATGTTTTCAAATGAGTTTCAAAATAAATTAAATCTATGTTAATTGCTAAGAGTATAGAAAAACAAACATTAATAATAATAATATATGGTTCTAATAAGAACAGTTTTTTTAATCGTAACATTTGTAGATTTGATGACAGTATCACTCCACACATAGTTAGTTTTCTATCGCTGTTACTCTCCTCATCTAAATTATTTATGATCGGTTCAATAATATTATGATCTACATGAACATATGAATTTTCTTTACTTATTAAGTGTTGGACTGAATTTCTCCAACTACTTGGAAGAACATCATTGACACATTTTCTTATTAACTCTACAAGAGTACTACCAAAGAATATAGACGCTTCTATATTCTTTGGTACTACTTTACGTTGGAGAAATATTTTTGTGACCTCACGTTAGACTTCAAATCGTGACACACGTTTTATGGGATTAAACATACAATAATAGGGTGGAAGCCGCAGCACTGTATGTCCCATTTCCTTTGCCAATGTATCACAAACATATACTTTTTTATAGAAAATGCCTTTAAAACTTCTAAAAGCTCTTGTTTCGTATAACATTCTTCAAAATACGTCTCCATGTAATTTTGAATTTCCAATTTAGTATTGATGGAACTTTGTCTGATTTCCACCAATTGTTGGGGGAAAGCTATTAAATTCCTTTCGCCGTGTGTGTGCAGTATCAAATATTTTAGGACCATGGACTATAAAAGAGTTTCCTTCGATATATGCAAGCAGACTTCACGGCGATGGTGCCTTATGTGTTTGGTTTAATAGGGGTTGTACTCAGAGAAAAATAAAGTGTAATTAATCGAATCTACACATTTAATAACTAGAGAATATTTAGAAAACCACTATAATTAAAGAGGTCGCTTTAACACATTGTTCATTGTTATACCGGCATTTTAGGGGCACGCGACCATAGCGAAAACAAATGCACATTTCACTGCATTTTAGAGGCGAAGAGAGGACTTACAGGCGAGTACCGCACAACTTGAGACACAAATCACATCTGCGATACTTTTGGCTTGAATCTTTATCTGAAAGTGTCGACATGCCGGCGTCAAGTGGTTACAATCCAAGGCCCTTATAAGGTATTTACGACATAAATATTCTGCAGATAAAAAGTACAACTTTATTAGACAAAATATTAGAAAAAACGACGAAGTACGACATAGACTGATATTACATCTTCGTAGACTTTAAGGTAGCGTACGATACTATTGACAAGTCCCAATTATATTCGGCGATGATCGAATTAGAAATACCAAAGGTTTGGTAGAATTAATTAAAATGACAATGATGAAAGTCGAATGTAAAGTGCGCGTACAAGGGGATGTTTCAAAACCATTTAAAACCAACAGAGGACTGCGCCAGTGAGATGCGCTATCGTGCACGCTGTTCAACCTAGCGTTAAAAAAAGTTATAAGAGATTCGGGAATAAACTTAAAAGGTACGATATATACCCGTAGTATACAAATAATGACATACGTTGATGATATCGTCATAATTGGAAGAACCCAAAATGAAGCAGTGGAGGCTTTCACACGTATCAAAAATGCCGCAGACAACATCGGACTTCTGATTAACATCCAGAAAACTAAATATATGCCGGCCATATGAAGAATTCAACAAAATAACTTAGAGGTGCAACACGAAGCGATAGAAAAGGTAGAAGAATTCTGCTACTTAGGATCACTGGTAGACTACAAAAATACCTCATCCAAAGAGACAAAAAAAAAAGAATATGCGTGGCTACCCGCTGTTATTTTGGCCTGGGCCCTCAACTAAGAGCGAGAAGTATGGCAATAGCAACAAAGTGCAAACTTTATAAAACAATAATACGCCCAGTGCTCACATACGGATCGGAAACATGGGCAATGACGACCCGAGATGAAGAGTTACTACGAGTCTTTGTAAGAAAAGTATTGAGGACCATATATGGCGGAGTAAACGAACAGGGTCTGTGGAGAAGGCGATATAACTTTGAACTCTATAGACTTTTTGGTGATGCAGATATTGTGAACACCATCAAAATAAACCGCCTAAGGTGGCCACGTTATGCGGATGGATGAGAGTGATCCCACTACAATACCTATGCTAAACAGACCGGTCGAAAGAAAAAGAAGGGGCGACCTAAACTCAGATATCTGGACGATGTACAGGAAGATCTGAGGGAGATTGGAGTGAGCGGCTGGAGAAGGCAGACACTCGATAGGGAAGGATGGAAGAATGTTTTGAAGCAGGCCAAGGCTCACAAAGGGCTGTAGCGCCAACTGATGATGATGAAAAAGTACAACACAAGAGATCTGTCGCATAAGATCCAAGCCAATATTTGTGAGAACAAAAATTAAACTAAAATTAATATAAAATGTTGTTTTTACAACAAGTATTATTTGAATTTGGATCCTTACTTAGTTGGCGTCTGTGAAACCTTGCATTGTCCGTTACTGTCTCACTATTCTGGGAAATTTTTGGTATAAGATTATTTTTGAACCATTTTTCAAAAAGTTCTGCCGTTGTATTTTTATGCTAGTCAACGCAGGAGTCTTTAATATTATTTGCAGAAAGCTACAGGGAATTTGGAACCCAACCAGTTTTGATTAAGCATGTATAATCGTTATTCTTTTTCCTTCATTTGACGGAGATTTTGTTTTATATTTACCGGAGGAATCGGAAAATACTTTGGATCGCGTTAAATGTGTGTTAAACCATGTCTCGTCGAAGTAACTTATCGGACGATTTTCATAACGAAATTTTCTTATCGAAGTTATATGCTCATAACGCCATTTTCGGGTTTCGTCAACATTGACTCGTTTCTTTAGAGCTCTTAACGTAGGTATGCGTTGCTTTTCGTACATGGTATAGACTTTTCGACGTATTAAGTCCTTATCGGCTTCGTCATCACATTTGGTGAAACTGGAATCTTTACGTTTTTTTTTTGTTTCTATGGGATTTGATGTAATTCTTTTTACTGTGGTCAGAGGTTTTTTCATCAAAGTGTATATTTCACTCGTAGCGGAAGTTGTGTCAAGTCCTCTTTTAAGTAAGGTACTGTATATAATTTTTACAATTTGACAGAATTTTTACAGATAAATGTTTCTTCTTTACCAGAACACTAGAAGCCCCATTATTATTATCCCATGGACGCCACATAATGATAGAAACTAGTATTTAAATACTGGTTGGTGTTCAATTTTGGACAGTCATGGTTGGAGACAGCGGACAGGTTGGAGTGTTATTTATTTAATGGAATGTCTTAAAATGGGAATAGAAAAACAATGCAAGCGCAGATCCATAGGAAAACTAAAAAATGAAAATTTAAATTTAAAAATGTGTACTCTAACATATGGTTAGTGTGCTATATAGGTAAGTGTTGTAAAAATACATGTGAGCACGTAAACTGTATACTAGATTAGTATTCCAGACGAATAATGGGGTATCATGGTCCAATGTGTGTTTGCTAAAATATTTGTATTTAATTATCGTTTTAATAATTTTTATTTTAGAAGGGGGAGGGGTACAGGTAAAATATTCCATACATAGTGGTAGTTGGCTCTTATAAAGATATTACAGTCGAAATAAAGACACACAAATCATTAAGGATATTGATAATGATTATAAATTGATGTATAGCGTTAGTTAACACGAGATAGAATACGCAGGAGTAAACTGTAGATGCAACTGAGTATTCAATGTTATTCTGTTGCTGTTCCTCATTGTTTTTGTAATTTATATCTGCTTTAACTTGCTCAGTTTAAGCTCTTTTGATATGTAAACAGCATTTTAAAGCCTGTTTCTGGATCAAACTCATGGTTAGAATTTCTGATGTATGGAGAATTATGATGTCCAATAGATGATGATCTAATGTGTTCCATGAGGCGGTCTTTAAAGAATTTATACGTTCTACCAATATAAAAGGATTCACAAGTATTTCATCTCAACTCATATACTCTACTTTAATTTAATAATTCACTTCAGCGTTTGTTGTTTACAAAAATCCGACCGAGGCTGTTGATAGCCTCTTCTGTTGATAATTCACTTCTGTGTTTGTTGTTTACAAAAATCCGACCAAGGCTGTTGATAGCCTTAAAATATTCTTTTAAGATCTAAGCTAAGGTGTATAAAAATTTACCAGTAAATCTTGGTGCCCTATAAGGTTTTATATTCATTGCAGTAAATGCATTGCAGTATTCATAAATGTGCTGAATATGCTGTATTTTCTAAATGTTATTTGAGGTTTTTGTGTGAAATTTTATCAATTAATTTGTCAGATATCTATTTAATATCTTACAACAATTATATAATAGCACACTAACCATATATGTTAAAGTACACATTTTTAAATTAAAATTTTCATTTTTTAGTTTTTCTATAGATACGTGTTTGTATTGTTTTTCGATTCCCATTTTAAGATATTCCATTGAATAAATGACAGTTATAAACCATAATGTATCTCCTTCTAACTTAAAATTAACATGAATAGAGGCTAACACCCTTCAAGACGCACCTGTTAATGAAAAAACCCAGTTTGTCCCCAATTTTTGTATTGAGGTTACAAATTTACTTAATTTGTTATTTTTTACCTTACAATTCAAGGGGACTCAACATGCCGGCATTAACACATTCAGAGCTGGTGATTTAAGATTTAAGATTTCAAATTTTGGGACTTCCGGGATTGGCATGGAGCATAGTTAGGGTTCATAGGTATCATAGATACAAACCGCATTACACTAATAATAATAAATTATTACTATACCTAAATACTATAGAGTGCTTTTTAGATAAAACTATCTACCTTAAATAACTTTTAAACTTCTAATTTTCAAGAAAAGCGCAAAATCACGTCAATTAATAGATATTTGAAGCGGGAGATATTATGTCATATTTAAGCTTGCTGGGAAAGGTACCCTCTCAGCCCCTTATCATACCTTAGTTATTTTTAAATTACGATCACCTTGTTTTATTTAATATTTGGAATCTCCTCTTTCTACTGATTTCCAAAAAGGTATATCACATAATACTTAAAGTGATTAATTTATGAGAAAAACAAATACAAAAACAAGAAAACTGGTTTGAAGAAAATTATTGATTTAACAATTATATTACAAACATTTAGAATTAACATTTTACTACTAAAAGTTTTTACAATCATTGTTCAAAATGACTGCCATTCACTTACATACAATAGTACAATCTATTTTGAAATTCTTCTCTGACACGTCTGTATTTAATTGTCGACATTTATCCTCTATGCTTTGTCGTAAATCATCCTAAAGTTCTGGTTAAGTAGCATACATTTTTATTTTTTAATACCCCCATAAAAAGAAGTCTAGGGGTGTTAAATCCGGTGACGGTCCATCATGTTAAAATACAACCAAATCTTCGGAAAGTTTATCATTATTTTCTACTATGGTTCTAATACGATCAACCACTTGCCAACTCAAGTAACTCAAGATACAATGCACCATTTAAGTTTCCAGTAATAAAGAAGGGTCAGATAATCTGATCACCTAGAATGCTACACCATACTGATCACTTTCAGCCCAATATCGGCAATTATGTCTGTTCACCAACTCCGAGAAGCAAATATTGTTTAACAATTGTGGATTTGTTAATGATGGATTGAGTGATTAATTAGCAAAATTCGGGATGACAATCAAAATCTTCATTTACCAATTTAATTGTGTATGGGTGAAACTTAAATTTATAGAGGAGTCAGAAGGCTGGAGAAAATGGAACACCGATTGCTCTGCTTATTGTTGACAGTGATTGTGATTGCTCAGCCTCTAAGTTAACTTGCCCTAAAACGGCTACTTGAATTGCTTCGTTATTTACAAGTTCCTGTTGGTTATGTTTTTTATATTAAACCAAGCCTGTTACTCTAAATTTCCGCATCAGTTTAATCACATGTTGCATCTTTGCATGTCTATTGTGGCGTGTTTCATTAAAAATTCTAGCAACAGGTCTTGCACAATTATTAGTTTTGTAGTATAAACCCACAAATTCGATTCTTTCTTGCAAAGTTTATCCAGTTCAGCTACCAAATTGCACATGTATCAAAATACTGTTACAAGTTATAACAAATTGTCATTGGCTCCAATTAAAATGAATGTCCAAATAATATCGAAAGCCTGTGGATAAAATTTAAATAAAAAGTGGAAGTTTTTTGTTTCTTTTTTTTTAAGATACTAAAAATAGTGCCGTTAAATATTTAAAAAGTTTAAATTATTCTACAACATATTTATTAATATTAATATTATTTAATATTCTCTAAAAACATTCCTTGTCCTTCTAGATATCTACCAAGGGACAGCAAGTGCACGACATAGTCAACATGACATTTGTAACCTAACAGTCCTGTCATCAAACCAACAACAATACAAACCATCGTGTCCCTTTAACAAATTAGTTTTTAAAATAAAACCCCATTTCATATCTTGTTTAACACTGTCAGTCCATACAAGCGGTAACGACGTGCATTTTAAATTTTAATTTAATATGAAACCTATATTAATTTACATATTGGTGTTGTATGTTTGCATATGTTTTTTGTTTTTTGTCCCAAGAATAACAGAAAGGCAAAGGTTATGGTTGGACAAATAAGTAGTATCCATAAAAAAGATCATATTATTAAATCACATTTGATGCATAGATTAGGATTGGACTGATATGTAAGTATTTTCTTTCAGAGTGAAGCTGGTCTATGGAATCTTAATATCTAATATAAATTTAAAACACACATACATATTTTTATTCTATTTTATTCTATCTACTTGATTATCAACTATCGACTATCGACTGAGTATTGATTTTCCTCTGTACTCCTCAAATAATAATTGTTTCTTTGTTTTGTCATATACAAATAATTTATTTTCACCATGTATTTTAACCTTAGTTTCTTGAGGGCCTGAAGATGCTGTAAAAGTTTGTATACAGCGAAACCAGTAGCTCAATTTTTTTACCAGCTTTAATAAAAACCTATAACGGATTGTGTAACTTTTATATTCAATAACACACTAAATTTGGGTTAATTTTCTGATCAATGAAAAATATCTCAGATAATAACATTTTTAAAACCGGGAAAGCACAAGGAGAAACTACAGCATGCACACTAATCAGCCTCTTGCCAATCACGTCTTAAGTGTTCGAAAAACTATTAGTCAAAAGACCCTGGATCAAAAGTCAAATTCCAGACCACCAGTTTGAATTTCCGACTATTTTGAGGCCAAGAAGCACTGTTTAGCGGCATTTCTGGACATTAGACAGGCATTTGACAAGATGTGGCATAAAGGGCCTCGTATACAAGCTGAAAAGGACATTGCCGCAAATCCTTTACATTGTTCTTAAGTCGTATTTATCAGGTAAGTGTTACTTCTTCTCTTTTTTCACGTAGTCTCTCTTATGAAGAGAGACTACGTGTTTGGGAAAGAAAAATCCTAAGGAAGATCTTTGGTCCGGTGCTTGATGAAGCATCAGGACAATATAGGATAAGAACTAATAAAGAGCTTGAAGAACTTTACCCAGGCCAACATCATAAAAGAAATAAAGTCCAGAAGACTCCAATGGGCAGGACACCTCAGAAGATATTCTGACGAACGAACAGTAAGACTGGTGTGGGAGGATGTCCCAACTGGAAGGAGACCACGCGGACGCCCTCGTCTCCGGTGGCGAGATAACATAGCAGGAGACCTAAGCACTATGGGCGTGGAGAATTGGATGGAGGTTGCTCAAGACAGAAAACAGTGGAGGCATGTTGTCGAGTCGGCTAAAACCCACGAAGGGTTGTAACGCCACGGAGTAAATAAGTAAACTCTATTCTATCAAAGCTGGAGTACCACAGGTAGCGTGCTGGGGCCTTCCTTGTGTCTCATTACCTTTATAATATTAATTTTACAATAAATATATTTCATTTTACCACTGAGTAAAATCCTTCTTGTCTTTAGTCTATGTCACTACTTTTGTTTATTGTTGATACCTATTCAATAGATGGCAAATTACTTTTAAGTCAAAGAACAGTAAATAAAATCGATGGAGCTATACTCCGCTGTTAATACCTATCAAAAATAAATATTGTCGATACTCGGATGGGTAAGGCAAAGGACGATCATGAGTCAATATCCAAAAACCAGGAAGGACTAATCAATACTTAGTCTATGTTAGAGGTGGCTGATTGATCACTACTCAATATGGACAAGTAACGAAAGGTCGCTCAATACTCGATCGTAGATGGAAAACGGAAAGGACAATTGGCCTTTGATCAATACTTAAAGATCTGGGGTAGAAGCTCTTACCAAATCAATGATCCGTTTCTAGGTATGCTCGTTGTCATTATAAAACGGCGTTTTATACTTTTGCCGCTGTTCCATGTCGATAGTAGTGGTATGTTGTAGGTGGAAGTGCGTGCGTACTAAGAGCAGAATATAGCTGGGAGCGCTAATGTTGTTTTTCTTAAGCAATTTTGATGCGTCATTCTAATTTGAGTTGTACTAAGAACAATTAAATGAGGTTGCAAGTAACAATTATAGCTTACTTGATTTAAAACTTTCTACACTATTTTAAAAAGTTTCGATGAGTTTGATATTTTCTTATTAGATATCATATTTATACAGTGAACGGCGAACTTATCTAATCAGATTATTATTTTGAAAATGATGGAACGTTTAGGAAAATCCACGTTAGGCAAAGCTACAAATAAAATAAGGATAGGAAGTGATTGCCCACAGCGTGAAGTCCTATCTCTTTTGTTATGTGATATTCTGATGGTTAGCATGTTAGTAAAGTTATTCATTTATATATAGACTAGCTTTAACGGACGTTCTGCCAAACAATAGAGCGAACGCAGTTCGCTCTGAGTGAGGTTGACAATTGGCATGAGGATGTCGACTTGATGATCAATTATTATTTATTGTTAATAAGTGCTTATGGGAGGAAAAATTCATTTATAAGTAAAGCTAATACAAAACTGTAAGATATACCGGCATTTAGCGTTTGTAAACCACAAGCTGATGTGGAATCGACACATCCAAAAGGTCAAACAGGGAGCTGTAATCTTACAGATGCAGGTGATACCAGATGACGAATGTACATGGTTTATAAAAGAGAATATAGTATTCCTGAAAAAATCGACTGCTGAATGGCATTCCAAAGCTTGCATACTAAGAGTAACGGCAGCCATAAGGACAATTCTAACGGACGCTTTGAATATTTTTACCTCACTTACTATCTTTGTAGGTATATATTATGCAAAGAGAGACCAGATATATAATACACAATTGTGCTTCTAAAATTATAATACGAGGTTGCTAAGCAAGAATATAAAGAGCAGGAAATAAAAGCAGATCCTCTCCTAAAAATGCCAGTGAACCGAATATTCCTAAATTCTAACTTCAACCAAAACTTTTTCAATATATATAAAAAAAAT